AATTTATGGCTAGTCTTTCATGAGGATAGCACTGTATTGCCAAGGAGGGTTAATTTAATGAACGTTCTAAGGAAAAAAAACACCTCTATGATAAGTGTCACAGAGTATAGCACTGTCTTGCTGGACATTTAAAGAGCATTACAGACTGAAAAAATAGCCTATGTTGGGGGAGGGGAGTGGGGGAGGGGGAGGGGAGGGGGAGGGAGGGGGGGAGGGGGTGGGGGTGGGGTGAGGGGGAGAGGTGGGGGAATCAATGCTAAAAGGACTTAACCCCATGTCACTAAGGTCCAGAATACATTACAATTTGGAAGGGAAGGTGATCTTTAAAGGGAAACTTTTCTCTGTCTCTTGCCTCCACTTTAACACAAACCTAACCTAACCTAAAAAGAACCTTATCCACCCCTTAAAAAGTCTTATCCACCCTTTAAACCCATTATCACCCCTAAAACCCTTATCCACCCTTAAAACCCATTATCCACCTTTAGACCCATTATCCAACCCTTTAGACCCATTATCCACCTTTAGACCTTATCCACCCTTACACATTATCCACCCTTAGACCCATTATCCCCCCTTTAAACCCATTATCCACCCTAAAACCCCTTATCCAATTTCTTAAAACCCATTATCCACCCCCTTTAAATCTATTATCCAACCCTTTAGACCCATTATCCAACCCTTTAGACCCTTATCCACTTTGACCTATTATCCACCCTTTAGACCCATTATCCAATCTTTAGACCCATTATCCACCCTTTAGACCCATTATCCACCCCTTTAGACCCATTATCCAATTTTTAGACCCATTATCCACTTTTAGACCCATTATCCACCCTTTAGACCCATTATCCACCCCTTTAGACCCTTATCCACCCTTTAGACCCATTATCCCTTTAGACCTTATCCACCCCTTTAGACCCATTATCCACCCCTTTAGACCCATTATCCAACCCTTTAGACCCATTATCCACCCCTTTAACCCATTATCCACCCCTTTAGACCCATTATCCACCCTTTAGACCTTATCCACCCCTTTAGACCCTTATCCACCCTTTAGACCCTTGACCTCCATTATTCCAAGAATGTAAGTCAGCTGTTGTTTACCAGCTCGTATATAAGAGGAAGGAAGGGGGGAAATGATCCTCCTTCTCTTTACTCTCCCATTTTTTTCAGTGAAGGGAGAAAGGGAGAGGGAATGAATTTTTTTCCCCTCGCCCTGGATCACCTCCCCCCCTCCCTCCCCCTCCCTCCGGCGTATTTTTCAGCAGTATATCAGACGAGGGGTGAGAGGGGCTCATAGCATGGGTAGAGTGGGCTAGAACATGGATTGAGTGGGCTACAGCATGGGTGGAGTAGGCGCCATCACCTCTCACTCCTACCTCCTTCTCCCCCTTTTCTCTCCCTCCTTACTCTCCTTTCCTCTCCCTTCCTTCCCTTCCTTCTTCTCCTCCTCCTGTTTCTTCTCTCTCTCTTCTCCTCCTCCTCTTTTACAAGAGGCCGCGAGTTCCCATATTCCTATTGTGTTTTTGTCCCTTTATGAAAATAATGTTTAATGTTTATTTTTCTTGTGATGTTCTATTCTATCAAAAAAAAACCAATTATTTATTATTTTGGTATTTTATTTATTTTTTGTTTGTTTATTCTTTCGTGGTAAAAAAAATAAATAAAATCTAGGAATATTTTTTTTTGTTGGTGTGTTTGTTTGTTTATGTTTCGTGGGATGGTCTTGTTATTTTGTTGTTTAGGAAGTTATTATTTTTTTTTTTTTTCTGCTCTTAAGGTTGTTTTGGGGTCTCTCTCTCTCTCTCCTGTAGCATAAGTTGAGTGGGCTGCTAGTATAAGTTGAGTGGCTACAGTATAAGTTGTGAGGGCCACAGTATATTGAGTGGGCTACTGCAGGCTGAGCTATGTTTGATACATGATACACAAGTTGATGGTATTGCAGCATAAGTTGAGGCTACAGCATACATAGGTTGAGTGGGCTATGTTTCAGCAATGTAGGGTAATAATCTCATACCCAAACTTGGAAATACTGTTCATCTGTCTGTTTCTGTGTCTGTCTGTCTGTCTGTCTGTGTCTGTCTGTCTGTCTGTCTGTGCCTTTCTCTCTGTCTGTCTGTCTGTCTGTCTGTCTGTCTGTCTGTGCCTTTCTCTCTGTCTGTCTGTCTGTCTGTCTGTCTGTCTGTCTGTCTGTGCCTGTCTGTCTGTCTGCGGTACTCCTCTATAACTATCAATAATTAAAGGTGTACAATTAATATAAAAACACATAATAATTAATAAAAAATTTATCGATCGAGTTTTATTTAATTTTTAGATTTTTATTTAATTTTTGTTGGATTTTTTTGGGGGGATTTTTATTTAAATTTTGGATTTTTATTTATTATTGGGGGGATTTTTATGGATTTTTTTATTTGTACTTATTTTTTTTTTGTATTTTATTTAATTTTTCGATATTTCCTTATTTTTTTATTTCCCCAAATTTTGTCGCGGCACAACAGGGAATTAATAAAGAGGCTTGTTTGTTTTAACGGCTGTAATAGAGAGTCTCTTTAGTGAATTAACCCAGAAATTACTGTATTAGAGTGTTAGTGCAGGTATTGGCCGTCTCTGTGTAGTGGGGCGAACTGTGCCAAACGGTGCCAAGTTGTGCCAAGCTGCCAAACCATGTCAGACTGTGCTAAATTGTGTCAAATTGTGTCAAACTGTGCAGGGCAGTGTAGAAACGTGGTGTGTAAAAGTAGCAGTGAAGTGTTAAACGAAAGTAGCAGTGAAGTAATGAACGAAAGTAGCAGTGAAGTGTTGACATGTGGTAAGTGAAAGTAGCAGTGAAGCAGTGACAGTGTACTGCTACTTGGTAATGCTCCTAGGCACGACGGAACTGGGAAACGTGTGAAAGTTACTGTCAGGGGGGAAGAGTGGGTGTGGTGTTCCCTCGGCCTTGTTCTCTCACCTTGTTCTCTCACCTTGTTCTCTCACCTTGTTCTCTCACCTGTTCTCTCACCTTTTCTCTCACCTTGTTCTCTCACCTGTTCTCTCACCTGTTCTAATTTGCGTTTTCACTTGCTGTCCATAACAATAACAATAATAATAAATACAGACAGACAGACACACTGACAGACAGACAGACACCGACAGACCGACAGACAGATACACTGACAGACAGACACACCGACAGACAGACACACTGACACACTGACACACCGACACACAGACACACTGACAGACAGACAGACACACTGACAGACAGACACACTGACAGACAGATAGACAGACACACTGACAGACAGACAGACAGACACACTGACAGACAGACAGACACACGACAGACAGACAGACAGACAGACACACCGACAGACAGGGACAGAGACACACCGACAGACAGACAGACACACCGACAGACAGACAGACACACCGACAGACACACCGACAGACAGACACACCGACAGACAGACACACACACAGACATGGCCGCCGGATTCACTATTCTTTTCTTCTGAATTTTTGTGGCCTCCGAAATAATCCTTTCAGCGTGCCCTGACGAGGTGCAGCATGGGTGGAGTGGGCTACAGCATGGGTGGAGTGGGCTACAGCATGGGTGGAGTGGGCTACAGCATGGGTGGAGTGGGCTACAGCATGGGTGGAGTGGGCTACATTAAAGGTGACTTGTATTGAAGCCATGTAACGAACCCACCGAATGAACCCACCTAACAAGCCCACGTAACGAACCTACATAACGAAACCATGTATCGAACCCAAGTAACGAACCCTCATATCGAACCCCGGTATCGAACCCTCATATCAAACCCCGGTATCGAACCCTCATATCAAACCCCGGTATCGAACCCTCATATCAAACCCCGGTATCGAACCCTCATATCAAACCCCGGTATCGAACCCTCATATCAAACCCAATTTCGAACCCCTGTGTGGCCACGTCTCCCAAGGCCAAGTTACCTATTGTTTGTATTGAACATATCTAGGGAATTAAATTATTAAAGAGGGGGGGGTTAGGCCGTGGGAAGTGGCCATGTGGACGTTGACATTTAATTAAACTTCTATCGGCATTTAAAAAAGGAATTGTCTCTCATAATTAGCATGTGTAAATATTAACAGTTTCCCGACATTACTGCAGAATGGTCGACTCTTATTTCTCTCTCTTGTTTGGTGGTGAAATATATTGTGGGATATTTCTTACGTCCTGCCTGGGTTGGTAAAATGGGGAAATATTGCTCAGATAGTTGTTAATGTTGTAATTTGTAAATATTTATAATGTTAAATTGTGTATTTGGAAACATTTTAAAATTACGTCACATATTAAGAGGAAAAGTGGCAAAATTATCATTGTTTGAGAATTACCACGAACATACCAAGCAAACTCGCATATATTACATAACAAACAAACTAATAAACCCTAAATTAACGTAATATAATCTAACTAAGCGATTATATATTGCATTTATTAGATTAGAATATTTAAATTAGGTTAAAAACTAATAAGTGTTTATATATATATATATATAGTTCGTGGTAATCGCCCAACATAATATTATCCAAAGTACTACTAACGCCACCTGGTGATTGAAACCCAAACTATATCCGGTGGTGCCAATTAGTAAATATTATACAAACACCAGGAGGTATTTGACTTAGTGTCGTTTTTGTTATGAATTCCCTTACCTCCAGTCTAGTGTAAACAGAGAAGGCGAGGCAGGTGTGTTGGCGTCTGGAAAACACATTACCTACATATTTTTTGTAAGTTATTCTTTAGTCAATATCTTTTTTATACCTTCGTCTGAGTGGGCGGAAGGTGGGGTGATTTAGCAATATATATGTCTGTCTGTACTAGTTAATTATTGCCATATACCTGCCTGCCACGTGTTACCTGTCTCATGTTAACTCTTATGTATAAACTATCATTCATACCTGTCATATGCCATCACCTGTCATATATAACCACGTATTCCACCGCCATAGGTAACCACGACCTTCTTGTCTTACAGCCATGCCAGTCAGACGTCCTCGTGGTTGCCGCCCTTGGAGAACTGGGACTCTGGGGGCGCCGGCTTGCCTTACGGGTGGGAGGCGGCCACTGATAAGGAAGGGAAGCAGTATTTTATAAAGTGAGTGTACCTTGAAGTCTGTCTCTGTCTGTCTGTCTGTCTGTCTGTCTGTCTGTGTATCTGTCTGTGTATCTGTCTGTGTATCTGTCTGTGTATCTGTCTGTCTGTCTGTCTGTCTGTCTGTCTGTGTATCTGTCTGTCTGTGTATCTGTCTGTCTGTCTGTCTGTCTGTCTGTCTGTCTGTCTGTCTGTCTTGTGTGGATGAAACTCGTGTACTGTCAACAACATATGTACTCTGAACGATACATGTACTCTACAACACATGTACTCAACCCACGTACCCAACAAACACGTACTCAACACATGTACTCAACACATGTACTCAACACATGTACTCAACACGTACTCAACACATGTACTCAACCCACGTACCCAACAAACACGTACTCAACACATGTACTCAACACATGTACTCAACACATGTACTCAACACATGTACTCAACACATGTACTCAACACATGTACTCAACACATGTACTCAACACATGTACTCAACACACGTACCAACACATGCATCACTCAACACACGTACTCAACACATGTACTCAACCCAACATGTACTCAACACGTACTCAACACATGTACTCAACACGTACTCAGCACATGTACTCAACACGTACTCAACACATGTACTCAACCCACGTACCCAACAAACACATACTCAACACATGTACTCAACACATGTACTCAGCAAGTACTCAACACAACCCTGATGAAATACAAACACCTCCACCGCTACACATTTTTCCTCTCTGTTTCACCTGTAAAAAGTGAGACAGTTTCAACAAGTCTGGCTCAGCGTTTAAGTGTGTTTGAGTGAGTGTGTTTGAGTGAGTGTGTTTGAGTGAGTGTGTCTGAGTGAGTGAGCGATGTGTTTAAGTGTGTGTGTGTGTTTGAGTGAGTGTGTTTGAGTCAGTGAGTGATGTGTTTAAGTGTGTGTGTTTGAGTGTGTGTGTTTGAGTGAGTGTGTTTGAGTGTGTGTCTTTGAGTGTGTGAGTGAGTCAGTGTGTTTATGTGCGTTAGTTTGTTTTAAGTGGTTAAGTGTAAAGTGTGTTAATTTAAGTGTATAAGTGTGATAGTTTGTTTATAAGTGTTATGGTGTGTTTATAAGTGTGATATTTTTAAGTGTATAAGTAAGTGTTTAAGTGTGATAGCCTATTAAGCTTTATAAGTAAGGGTAGTTTCATCAAGCCAGTAAAACACACACACACACACACACACACACACACACACACACACACACACACACACACACACACACACACTCACTCACTCACTCACTCACTCACTCACAAATTACAGACTACGAACTCTTAAAACTCCTAGGGAAAAAAAATCTTAGGGGGACTACGAACTCTTTAAACTTCCTGGGGAAAAAATATCAAGTGAAATAAATCAGCTGTTTTTTGTTGACTATTTTGGGAAGCGTTAAAGTAGATGTTGTAAGTCTATCTCTCGTTTCATTCATAAATTTAAGGTGTGTGTGTGTGTGTGTGTGTGTGTGTGTGTGTGTGTGTGTGTGTGTGTGTGTGTGTGTGTGTGTGTGTGTGTGTGTGTGTGCGTTTCATCTCCCTTCCCTTACATACACACTGGAGGCTATAGACACACACACACACACACACACACACACACACACACTGTTTTTTCTTTTCTACAGTTATTGTAAAATTTCTTCCCTATATTTGCTTATCTCTGTACCAGGAGAGAGAGAGAGAGAGAGAGAGAGAGAGAGAGAGAGAGAGAGAGAGAGAGAGAGGAGAGAGAGAGTTACCTTATTTTATTTCCATTTGTTTATTTTCCTTTACTTTCAAACTCTATTTCTAGACGCATACATACATACATACATACATACATACATACATACATACATACATACATACATAATATTTGTCACACTTTTACACTTGTAGTTATGTGTGTCGTGTTGTTAACAGTTTACATTACCGTCCATCCGTTTATCCGTCTCTATCCGTCTCTATCCGTCTCCGTCCGTCTGTCTGTCTGTTCACCCGAGCTCTGAATGACGTATCAGGTCACCCAAATTAAAATCGATTTATCAATTTTTTGGACACAATGCTTCCTTGTTTGAGTGTGGTAATGACTGTTTGTTTGTTTACCTTGTTTATCTTTTGTTTTGGGGGGTCCTGTGTGTGGGGGGGGGTGGGTGGGGGGGGGCACTGTTTATTTGTATGTGTTTGTTTTAATGTTTGTTTCTTTGTGTGGTATAATTTGTGTGATGACTCCATCTTAACATACACACACACACACACTCACACACACACTCACCTGAACAACACACTCACCTGAACAACACACTCACCTGAACAACACACTCACCTGAACAACACTTACCTCACCTGAACAGCCTACTCCACCCCTGGTTTCTTTACTCACCTGGAGCAACACACACTCACCCCTGAACAACACCTCTCACCTGAACAACACACACTCCTGAACAACCACTCACCTGAACAACACACACTCACCTGAACAACACACTCACCCTGGGAACAACACTCACCTGAACAACACACACACTCACCTGAACAACACACTCACCTGAACAACACACTCACCTGAACAACACACTCACCTGAACAACACACTCACCATCAATCTGTTGTTTGTTGCAGTCACCTGAACAAGACGACCACTTACGAAGACCCCAGGAAAGATTTCTTGGATGAACCTCCACAACCTCGTCAGATCGATCTCCTGCGGGACCCTGAGATGGGGTTCGGGTTCGTCGCCGGGTCTGAGAAGCCTGTCATTGTTAGGTGAGTACTCTGAAGCCTTATGAACCCTTGAAGCCTCCCTTGTGAACCCGTGAAGCCTCCCTGTGAGTTCGTGAAGCCTCCATGTGAGCTCGTGAAGTCTCCTTTAGTATTTTGAAGCCTCCCTATGAACTCGGGAGTAGCTTCTTTGTGAACCCTAAGGCCTTCTTGAGTACCTTGAAGCCTTCCTGAGTACATTGAAGCCTTCCTGAGTACCTTGAAGCCTTCCTGAGTACTTTGAAGCCTTCCTGAGTACCTTGAAGCCTTCCTGAGTACTTTGAAGCCCTCCTTGAGTATCCTTGAAGCCTTCCTGTGAATCCTAAAGCCTCACTGTGAACTCGTGAAGCCTCCCTGAACCCTCCCTCAATGTTGGTTTAAGACGCCCTGGGATTACATTAGAGGGTCACCTTAAATGCCCTGGGATTACTGTCTTGTATATAACCTCATAAATCCTCCAAATAATCCACCTCTTAAGTAAAAATCCCAAAGATTCCGGGGGATTACTTTCTTCCGTGTGGCCTCAAAGACTCCGGGGGATTACTTTCTTCCGTGTGGCCTCAAAGACTCCGGGGGATTACTTTCTTCCGTGTGGCCTCAAAGACTCCGGGGGATTACTTTCTTCCGTGTGGCCTCAAAGACTCCGGGGGATTACTTTCTTCCGTGTGGCCTCGGAGACTCCGGGGGATTACTTTCTTCCGCGTGGCCTCGGAGACTCCGGATTACCGATACGTGGATTAAATGGCTTGGAAATCGTAAAGGGGAGGGGGGGGTGGGGTTAAAATCGTCGTTCATGAAGTGTGGTGGAGGGTTGTGGCGTAGTGTGGTGGAGGGTTGTGGCGTAGTGTGGTGGAGGGTTGTGGTGGGATGGGAGGGTTGTGAGGACTTCTCTTCCTCACCTGTCACGAGAGAGAGAAGATTGTGTCCCTCACCTGTCACTTACCTGCCCACACCTTCCTCACGTCACCAGCGAGGCGTTGATTGGCCAGCTATCAACCTCTTAACTTTGACGTTGGTGAGAGATTAACAGAAGGAAAGTGGCAATATCCTTCCTCTCCCCCCCCCTCCCTTCCTCCCCCCCTTTCCCTCTTTATTCTTCCTTTCCTATCTCCCCTTCCCACTTCCCTCCTACCCTGTTTATCCTTCCTTCCCTTTCACCTTTCCTTCCTCCTCCTTCATTCCCTCTTTATCCTATCTCCCCTTCCTCCTTTCCTTCTCCCTTTCTTCCCTATCCCCTTTCTTCCCTTCAACCTTTCCCATCTACCCTATATCCCCCCTTCCTCCCTTAGCTCCCCCCTCCCCATCTTCCCTATAGACATCACAAGAGGGGCGAGGGGAGGTGAGGGGGGGGGAGACTTAAAGGTATCACCCCTTCAACTTGGCCAAAATTTCCGATTATTTATTTTTTCAGCTCCTCTAAACCTTGTCAGTATCAATGTAGCGGTGAAGTATTTTACTGTGTGGCGCTGAGTGATTGTGTTAGCCTTCGTGCCAAGTCATGCCACCACCACCCCTCTCCCTTCCTCCCTTCCCCACCCCTCCCTTCCAGCCTCCCTCCCATACCCTCCTTACCCCTCCACCCTCCCTACCCCCCCTCCCCACCCCCACCCTCCCCTACCCCACCCCTCCCCACCCCTACCCCACCCCTCCCCCTCCCTCACCCCTACCCCACCCCTCCCACCCTCCCCTACCCCATTCTGGACCTGATTTGTTTTTCCTGACCTGTTTTGTCCCCGTTTCAGGTCCGTTTTTCTCCCCTATTCTGACCTGATTTCTATTTTTTTCAGGTCCTTTGTATTCATTCCGTGACCTGATTATTCCAGGTCTCAAAGCATCCTGACCTGTATGACTCGTGACCTCACTTCCACACTCTCCATCTCCCTTAAAAAAATACCCTTGACCTGTAATCATGAAATCCCAGGTCACGCAGGTCGCCAAACTATCCTTACGCACGCTCGTACGTCCGTCCCATTCAGCCTTGTCACCAGGATTAGGTTAGGTTAGGTCAGGTCAGGTCAGGTCAGGTCAGGTCAGGTCAGGTTAGGTTAGGTTTGATGGTTGTTTACATAGTGAGGCAGACAAGTTTACACAGGTATGGTCTAGTTAGCGTCAGATGCATCGTTACTAGTAGCCATCTATACTAGGTCGCGTGGCAGAACTACCCAATTAGAGAAGGTTAATTAGCGTCTACCTGGCGAATACCTGGAGTCGTTAATTAAGAGGTGGAGGTCAGTGTTAGTCTAGTAGGGGTTTGGGCAGGTGTAATGGTGGGTTAAATAAGGCAGGTGAGATGGACAAGACGTGTAGTGGTGGTGGTGGTGTGGTGTTGGTGGGGGTATTGTGATGGTTGTGGTGTTATGGTGATGGTGTTGTGGCGTCTTGTAATGGAAAGACTAATAATTATGTATATTAAGTGAAAGTAATTAACGTATGAATCCTAATACTGCTTTACATGTTATTAACTAACTTAATTGAACCTGACCTGACCTGACCTGACCTAACCTAACCAAACCAAAATATGAAGATAAATAAAAAAATAATTCCCCCCATAAAGCCACACACACACACACACACACACACACACACACACACACACACACACACACTGAAAGAATGTATTTCAAAACAATATTGCAGGATTGTGGTGCTGTGTGTGTGTGTAGAATAACAATAACAGCAGAAGAACAGGAGAACAACAGAACAGAACAGCACAGCATCATGACTACAACAATGCTACAGTCACCGCTGAATGACAGGCAGACAGACAGACAGACAAAGATGGACGGGAGAGTGATAATGTGCGCCAGAGCTGTCTAAAAACATGGTACCCAGACAGTAGGAATCACGGGGGATGTTACTGTCTACAAACAAGACAGACAACAACAACAACAACATTAACTTCAATAACAACATCAATAACAACTACAACAAAAAATCAACAATAACAGAACAAATAACAACGTCAATAACAAGAAACAGGCTTCAGCAAAATGACTCCGGCTGTGGGGAAAACTTCGCTCCAAGAGACAGGTTATATCATCGGTGCTCGTGGCCTGGCGATTTTTTTACTACAGGTTGCCACCATCAGGACCTGTGTGTGTGTGTGTGTGTGTGTGTGTGTGTGTGTGTGTGTGTGTGTGTGTGTGTGTGTGTGTGTGTGTGTGTGTGTGTGTGTGTGTGTGTGTGTGTGTGTGTGTGTGTGTGTGTGTGTGTGTGTGTGTGTGTGTGTGTGTGTGTGTGTGTGTGTGTGTGTGTGTGTGTGTGTGTGTGTGTGTGTGTGTGTGTGTGTGTGTGTGTGTGTGTGTGTGTGTGTGTGTGTGTGTGCTGGAGAATGTCCCTACGCTGCCTTCTCTCTCTCTCTCTCTCTCTCTCTCTCTCTCTCTCTCTCTCTCAGCCTGTGACGCTCTGTTCCCGCCAAGCCCTTACACTTCCCTTGTGACTCACCTAACAAACACACTCCAACTCGCGTCACCCCTCCGTAACAACACCCACCCCTGTGACGTAACAAACCCCCCTCAAGAAAAAACGCAGCTGCGCCTGTGTGTGTGAACCGTTAAGCAATTTATTACTCATGGTTCACAGAGGCAACTCATGAACGTCAGCCCAAAATGCTATGATAAATATGACTCAGGGCGTTCAGCCTGATCTCTTTGGTGTGAGCATAATATTGGTGTGAAGGTAGGGAACTGGTAAGTGAGAACTTCAGAGGAATCTAGGGTAGAATGAATGAGGTGGGGTAGGAAGGGTGGAGAGTCAGACGGGGGTAGGGTAGAAGATTGGAGGAATCAGGGGTGGGGTCGGGTGGAGTCGGGTAGGGTGGAGGTCGGGGTAGGGTAGGGTGGAGGTCGGGGTAGGGTAGGGTAGGTGCCATAACGCCTGTATCACGGAATACAAAAACTTTAAACCTTTATTTTTTCTCTACTGTGGATATTTTTGTTCCTATATATATAACATCCGTATTGTATGCCCGTGAAAACAAAACAAAACTGCAATTGTATTCGATGGCAATACTCTGTTTCCCTCTCCCAGTCTTCTTGTCAATATGTCTGTTACTGCCTGTCAGAGTTCGTAATTGTTGATATTAATGCATTTTATACTTTTGGGGGCTTTTTTTTTATTTAATTTATTCCCTTTCATCTTAATAGTTTTGGGTATTTGTTAAGCATTTGTTAAATTTCTTTCTCTCTATACATAATCGTATTTGCTATCACCTATCCATTCTTGAATAATTTAATTTCTCCTTAATAACTTGAGAAAGCCTCCGTGAATTAGATTGGAATTTAGTGTGCAGTTTCATCACAAGAATATCTAATACCAGATCAGAATTCAGTGTTTTTCATTTCAATTTATCTGAGTTATGACCATTGATATATTTGGGAAATTTTGGCCTGAACACCACTGATTAGTTTGCTTACCTTTACGTGTTTGGCCTTGTTGGTTTTGAGTCGTGGTGGTGGTTGGGTTTCGTCTAGTTCTCCGTGGTGTTGTGGTTGTGTGGTTGTAGCTTTGTCAACTAAATTTTTTGAGGTTCTGTTTAGTTCTGTTGCTGTTTACTGTGGACCCCCTGTTGTGAACCCTCTGTTTTATCCGTTTGGTGTCTCTTCTGTTGTGACTGTTGTGGTTATCCGTTCACTCCCCTTCTCCAACACTCATTCCTCCTCTCCCTCCAACACTCATTCCTCCTCCCTCTCCAACACTCATTCCTCCTCCCTCTCCAACACACCCATTCCCCCACAAAACACAATAATTCCCCCATCTCTTCTTTTTCCCTCGACTTTCCCATCGTGGTGGGGGAAGACTCAGAGCCAGCCTCGGGGGACAACCATCTGGAGGCAGGGGAAAAAACTGTTGTATTTTTCCCCTGCCACTCGCTTCTTTCCCTCCCTGGTCCATGTGTTATCCGAACCTTTCCTGCCCTTTCCAGTTGTCCTCACTAAAATGGCTCACGAGGGCGACTGTCATGGCTGATTTAGTGATCTGTGACTCGACTTGGGGGGTTACCACTT